GAGGGATTCTGGGGACCCTCTGGTGGACGAGAACCTGAAGAGACAGGGCTTTCAAGGTAAGGTTGAGCTCAGGGGGAGGTTTGTTGTCCCAGCACCATGATCTTGACCTGGTTTGGGCTTGGAGGGCCAGGCTGGAAGTGGGGAGGAGCTGGCCCCCAACTTCAGGGCCTAAGGAACCAGGCAAGCCAGGTTGGCAGCCCAGGCCTGGCTGTACCCTGCCAGCTCTGTGTTAGAGACTCCAGGGGAGAGGGGGTGCCTACAGGTGGATGGTGGGGGGAACTGGGTGGTGGGAGGGTACAGGGCCCAGGAGCCTGTCTGCTCCCCCGCCGCCGGCCGTCCCCACTGAGGTAGCTGACACGCCCACTCCTTATTCAGCGATCAGCTGTGGTCTTAGTGCTTTGAAATCAGAATAGGAGCCAGGTGCCACACCTCACGCCTGTAATTCCAGCACTTGGGGAGGTCAAGGAGGGAGGATGGCTTGAGGCCAAGAGTTCAAGACCAGCCTGGGCAACATAGAACCCGTCTCTATGTCTATTTTTTTAAATTATTATACAAGTGTAATAATTAGGGTACATGTGCACAACGTGCAGGTTCTAGGGTACATGTGCACAACGTGCAGGTTTGTTACATATGTATACATGTTCCATGTTGGTGTGCTGCACCCATTAACTCGTCATTTACATTAGGTATATCTCCTAATGCTATCCCTCCCCCTCTACGTCTATTTTTAAGAAAAGAAATCAGAGGCCGAGTGCAGTGGCTCACGCCTGTAATCCCAGCACTTTGGGAGGCCGAGGCGGATGGATCACTTGAGGCCAGGAGTTCAAGACCAGCCTGGCCAACATGGCAAAACCCCGTGTCTACCAAAAAAATACAATAATTAGTCGGGCAAGGTGGCACGCACCTGTGATCCCGGCTACCCGGGAGGCTGAGGCGGGTGAATTGCTTGAACCTGTGAGGTGGAGGTTGCATTGAGCTGAGATCGTGCCACTGCACTCCAGCCTGGGCGACAGAGCAAGACACTGTCTCAAAAAAAAAAAAAAAGAGCGAGATGGTGGTCTGGGATCCGTCTGGCACATGCTAGCACTTGTCTTTTTTGTTTGTTTGTTTGTTGAGAAGGAGTTTTATTCTTGTCCAAGCTGGAATACAATGGCATGATCTCGGCCTACTGCAACCTCCGCCTCCCAGGTTCAAGTGATTCTCCTGCCTCAGCCTTCTGAGTAGCTAGGACTACAGGCTCCCACCACCACACCTGGCTAATTTTTGTACTTTTAGTAAAGACAGGGTATTGTCATGTTGGCCAGGCTAGTCTGGAACTCCTGACCTCAAGTGATCCGCCCACCTCAGCCTCCCAAAGTGCTAGGATTACAGGCGTGAGGTACTGTGCCCGGCCTTTTTGTGTTTTTTTGTTTCTTTGTTGTGTGTTTTTTTTTTTTTTTTTTTTTGGCAGAGTCTGTCTCCCAGACTGGAGTGCAGTGGCACGATCTCAATTCATTGCAACCTCTGCCTCCTGGGTTCAAGTGATTCTCCTGCCTCAGCCTCCTGAGTAGCTGGGATTACAGGCGCCCAACACCACGCCCAGCTAATTTTTGTATTTTTAGTAGAGATGAGGTTCGGCTATGTTGGCCAGGCTGATCATGAACTCCTGACCTCAGGTGATCCGCCTACCTTGGCCTCCCAAGGTGGTGGGATTACAGGTGGGAGCCACTGCCCTCAGATGGTGATTTTTTTATTGTATCTTGAAAGTTTGGGGTGTTATATTAGGAGGCTCTCAATCTGATTTAAATATTCTTTAGCCAACATCACACTGGTGGGAAAAGGGCGTTGCGACCTCATTACCACGGGTGGAGGTAGAAATCCAGGCTCCCCTCTCAGCCCCGACCAATACCACACAGAGGGTGGAGAGGACAGGAACAAACACTTCATTCTCACCAGGCAGGGCTGGAACTTCAGTCTCCACACAACCTCTACTGACACTGTGGAGAAAGGGAAGTGCCCTACACTTCCAAGAGCAGGAAAGGAGGAATTTCAGGTTCCCCATTCAACCTTTTTTAACACACAGAGGAACCTGGGGAAAAAACTAAGTACAAATTTCTTTTTTTGGCGGGGCGGGGCATGGAGGCTCATGCCTGTAATCCCAGCACATTAGGAAGCCAAGGTGGGAGGATTGCTTGAGCCCAAGACTTTAAGACCAGCCTGGACCGCCAGGCGTGGTGGCTCACACCTTGTAATCCCAGCACTTCAGGAGGCCGAGGCAGGTGGATCACGAGTTCAGGAGATCAAGACCATCCTGGCTAACATGGTGAAACCCTCTCTCTACTAAAAATACAAAAAATTAACTGGGCGTGGTGACACGCACCTGTAGTCCCAGCTACTTGGGAAGCTGAGGCAGGAAAATCACTTGAACCCAGGAGGCGAAGGTTGCAGTGAGCTGAGATTGCGCCACTGCACTATAGCCTGGGTGACAGAGAGAGACTCCATCTCAAAAAAATACCAAAAAACAAACCAACCAACCCAGCCAGGACAACATAGTGAGAGTCTGTCTCTATAAAAAATTTAAAAATTAGCTGGGTGCAGTGGCGCACATGTGTAGTCTCAGCTACTCAGGTGGCTGAGATGGGAGGCTAGCTTGAGCCCAGGAGGTCCACGCTGCAGCGAGTTATGTTCGCACCACTGCACTCCACAGCTTGGGTGACAGAGCCAGACCCTATTCCCTCCCCACAAAAAAAAAACCCAAAAACAAAAAAGAATTTCACGATGGCGGCTACAAAGCCCTAAAGTTCAAGCACAGGACCCTGTGCAGACACACCTTTGTGCTTCTCAATTTTCTGTTTTTCATATCGATCCTGAAAGCTCTTGTTCTCCATAGGTGATTTATATGTTTCTATTGCAAATTGATTTCTTCTCCATAATGTTTGCTAAGTGGTTAGTAATGGTATATAGGAAAGTCATTTTGTACAGTTAGCTTTTATGGCTATTTTAGAATTTCATCTCTCACTAATATAGAGGTGAAATTCTATAGTTTCAATATAAATTCTCTTGGGTTTTTTTTTTTTTTTTTTTTAAATTTTTTCGAGACTGGATCTCAGGCTGGCATGCAGCGGTGAGATCACAGCTCACTGCCACCTCAAATTCCTGGGCTTAGGTGATCTTCCCACCTTAGCCCCCACAATAGCTGGGACTACAGGTACACACTACCACGCCCAGCTAGTATTTTTTGTAGAGAGGGGGGTCTCTACAAAATGTTGCTGACGTTGCTCTCAAACTACTGGCCTCAAGCAGTCCTCCTGCCTTGCCTCCGAAAGCGATCACAGGCATGAGCCACCACACCCAGCCTTCTCTTGAGTTTTCTACATAAAATAACCATCGCTTAACCAGAAAACCTCTGTAGCATGAGAATATTAATAATAATGTATATTTTCCTAAGAAAGAACCAAATCAATGTTTGGAAGAGGGATGGATTATGAAACTTTATTGATAATGACTTCAGTTCCAAAGGTGTATTCTATTCACATTTACCCTACATAAAATACCAACACCTTCTTGTTGGCAAAAACAGAAACTCCGGCCATTGTATTGATGCTGACTTAAGAAAAACAGAAACCTCTATATAAGGCAAGAGTCCATACCAGAAGAATTTAACCAATATGAGATACTTCCAAAAAAAATCAATTCAATGACCTACTTTATGGTATGTAAGAGACCCAAAAAAGTCAGCTTTTGAGGGAAGTTGATACGTTTATTGAACAGAGTGTACAGTAACTAAAAGAACTGTGTATTTCCAGGGGGAATTAAGGCCACATATCTGGATTCGCACCTAAAAGCACATAGAAAATTAAACCCAAGAAAGGGAAGTTTTTTACTGAAATCACTTGGGCCCAGACTATTCTATACGAAGATTCTCACTGGCATTTGACAGTAACTCATCACCTGCTGTGCGAGCTTGGGAACCAGCTGAGTGAGTGAACTGCTTCCTGTCTTCAGTGCGTGATGACACAGATGTGTCAAGCTTGATAGACCTTACATGTACATTTTTTTTTTTTTTTTGAGACGGATGAGACGGAGTCTCGCTCTGTCGCCCAGGCTGGAGTGCAGTGGCGCGATCTCAGCTCACTACAAGCTCCGCCTCCCAGGTTTACGCCATTCTCTTGCCTCAGCCTCCCGAGTAGCTGGGACTACAGGGGCCGCCACCTCGCCTGGCTAGTTTTTTGTATTTTTAGTAGAGACGGGGTTTCACCGTGTTAGCCAGGATGGTCTTGATCTCCTGACCTCGTGATCCGCCTGTCTTGGCCTCCCAAAGTGCTGGGATTACAGGCTTGAGCCACCACGCCCAGCCCTTACAAGTAAATTTAAGAATAAGAAGTTTTATACCCACCCTGGTTTTATTCCAGAATTACTGCTCTGCAATTTTGGGCTCCATCCTTAGGAAGATACTGGAAAAGCAAGGGAACCTTTCTCAGCTGCCTGTGTGAAGTGACGCTGTTCCAGAATGGTGCCCTGGGGCCTCATGCACTATTTCACAAGTATAGCTGCATAATCTATGGAAGTCACTGAATGGAAGAATCATCATCAATGGTATATTTAGGTTATGGAAGGTTCCTCTGAGATAAGAAAAGGTTCTACAATGCAGGTAGCTGTTGAGCCTCCTAAATATTTTACTCATTTAGTTAACATCACACTGCATTGAGTGCAAGATTCTTTGGTTATACCATATTAACCACCAGGAGGGAGGATAACTCCTGGTTTGTAAAAGAGATCAGTGGTTCTTAATGGAGGGTGATATGGCCCCAGGAGACATCTGACTATGTCTGGAGAGAACTGTTCACAGCTCTGGGGGGTGCTACTGGCATCTAGTGGGTATGGATGGCAGGAATGTTGCTGAATATTCTCCCAGGCACGGGGTGGCCCCACGACAAACACCTCTCAGGCCACTAATGTGAATAATCCTGAGGCTGAAATGCGCTGAAAGAGGTTCAGAAAATGTGTCTGGACTGTTGGAGAGTCAAATGTACATTATGGAGGCTGCAAGGCGCCCCCTGCATCTCACAGCTGAGGGACCCTGTCACCTCTCACCATGGGAGGCCAGTTCACTCCCGCCTTCCATTCCAGGCCCAGTGCCTGCTCCTTCTCACTGAAGAACCCAACAGAGATTTGCTGAATGAATGAGGGAAAAATAAGCTAGAAGCATGGTTTAAAGTCTTCCATTGACTACATTAAACAGCAATTTTATGTGGCCTAAAATTTATTCTGAACCTTAGTGGTGTCATAGTCTCTGACTATAAAGAACCTCAAAGTTAGGGCTAATACGTTCTTAAAGATGGAGTGCACATCTTAAGGGGAGTTTGTCTAAACACTTCTCGAGTCATTTTAGTAGGACAAACCAAATAAAATGGTGCTAAAGGCAAACATTCAATATACTTCATTTTAAACTAAAAAATTAACATATAAAATGCCATGCACAGCAGACACCATTCTTTTTTTTACATATTTACAATTTTACATATTTACTTATCAATATAATTTCTATCTTTACAATTATAAAATTATTTCGAACTGTGGACATACACTTTGTAGCATTCATTTGTTTTGTCCTTTAAAAGGCAATTATTTACCAAACCACAATGAATGCCAGAGGAAGCACACAGGAAAATCATGGAGGGAAAAAAGATTGAGACAAAATTTGCACACAAGCCTTAAATGAATCTGTATCAGTAACTCAAATAAATAGTATTTTATTATTAACTAAGCTTCCCTTGCTAGGAAAAATAAAACAAAACAATCCCCATATACTGTACCTTTAAAAATGCTCTGACATTTATAAGCAATTTAGTTACATTCTAGATCCCAATCAGTTGAGTGTAGTAAGGGCTACCTACAATTTAGGCTCAAATAAATACTCTCCATGTAAACTGTGATCATCCTGCATAAACTTGAGGTTGCAGTGGTGGAGGAAGTTTATCATTTTCAATGTTTTCAGAGTCAATAGCTGCTAACGGTTGATTTGGAGGCTTAATTTCCAGTGGGTATTTCTCAACAATGTCTTGAACTTCTCTTGTAATTCCATCTGTCCAATCTATGAGGTCTTTTTCCAGTTTCTTGGCTTCATTCATGATCCTTTCTTGTCGTTCATTCAACTGAGACAGGAGATCCAAGTTCTTATACATTTGCTTGACGCCTAAGCAAGCATCAGGAGACCAACTCTCAGCTTCTTGCTTCCTGGGAGAGGTCTGGCCAGACATGTAGCGATCAAAATCCTCCTGACTTAAATTCAAAGACTGGGCGTCTAACTTCTCGATGAAAGCCACGGCACAGCACTACAGGAAGAGGACATTAATACAGTCATATTAGGAAAGCTACGCATACTCCAATCAATTTGTAAAAGTCTTTTGATCACAGAGAATTTAAAATAGAACCAAAAGTAAACAAAACAAACTCATGAACTTCCATGTAACTCAGCCTGGAAAATTACCTACTCCTATCCCCGGTCATGCTTCCTGTATACTCCCAGGAGCTCTGGGGCCAATGTCTGGGTGCAGCCTCCCCAGATGCACCATGAAGACATTCTGTCTAAGTCTTCCCAGACCTGCTATCTCCACCCATGATACAGTCCCCGAGCGGGTGTAGGTCCTCAAGGCACTGGTGTGGCACACGGACCTCTGATCCTCAAATAAATATTTTAACACCAAGTGGTTAAAAGAACAGCTCCAGGCCGAGCCCGGTGGCTCAAGCCTGTAATCTCAACACTTTGGGAGGCTGGGACAGGTGGATCATGAGGTCAGGAGTTTGAGACCAGCCTGGCCAATATGGTGAAACCCCGTCTTTACTAAAAATACAAAAATTAGCTGGGTGCAGTTATGGTGCCTGTCATCCCAGCTACCTGGGAGGCTGAGGCAGGAGAATCACTTGAACCTGGGAGGCGGAGGTTGCAGTGAGCCGAAATCATGCCACTGTACTCCAGCCTGGATGACAGAGCAAGACTCTGTCTCAGGAGGGAAAAAAAAAAAAAGAACAGCTCTGAAGCAACAGAACCTGAGTTGACTGTCACCTCTTTCACTTAACAACCACAGTGAGTGACCCTGGGAAAGTTACTTAAGCTCTCTGAGGTTTCTGTACCTGTAAATGGGGGGAAATACCATCCAGATTTATTGTGAGAATTAACAACATAGCACATGTCACGGGCTTCCAAGAGGCCTGCAGTGAGCAATGAATACACGGTAGCAATTACTAGTACGGAAATGCCACTGCAAATGCCCAATTCAACAGACATCTGAGCCGGGTGTGTTGGCTCATGCTTATAATCCCAGCACTTTGGGAGGCCGAGGTGGGAGGATTGTTTGAGCCCAGCCTGGGCAACAGTCAGGATAGAAACCTCACCTCTAGAGAAAAGGAATAAAGAAAAAGAAAAACGTGATTCATCCGAGGAGAACGGAAGCGCACGCCCATCTGGCTCATGGTGTGTGTGGAGCTGCTGTGGCCCCTGTGACTGGAGAGAGGAGGTGATTCTAACTCCTCACTTAGGTGAATGGAGACATGGCATGGCCACTAACAGGAATAAAGAATACTGGAAAAGAAACAAACATCTGAAGGGGACGTAGCTCTGAACAAATTATATTTGAGGTGCGATACAAGTGTGAGGTCAAGACAGGTGACACAGAGCTGTGGGTCATCACTGCACAGGTGAGTGACAGCTCTTTGACAGAGGAGATGGTGAGGAAGAGATGCAGAGACAATAGAGTCCCAGGGAATGACACAATTCAAGGTGGAAGTAGAAGACACAGACTTTACAAAGAGACAAGGAAGTAGTGGGATTGTGGAAGCCAAGGAACAAGTTGCAGAACAAAGGACTCATGGAGAGTGCTATGAGAAGCAAAGGAAGATGAAGGCTGCGAGTGTCCATGGGGTTTGTCAGCTGGAAACTTTTTACTTTTGCCAGAGCAGTTTCACTGGAGCAGTGGGTGCAGGAGACAGACTCTGAGTCAGGCCAGAAGAGGATGAAGAGGGAAGGCACAGATGTACTTAAGGCTGCAGGCCAAAGGCCCTAGAAGCTGCTGAGTGTGTGCAAGCCAGCTACCTCTACTGTCAGTGACTGTGGCTACGCTTGAATGTGTCCTGGTCCTCCTTCACTTCTCTCACTACCTGCCATGTCCACACTTCTCAGGGACTTCCAGGTTGTCTGACCCGCTCTGGATAAAGAGCTGAATCCAAAAGGCTCTTCCCTCGCAGGCAAGTGTATGTTTCATTTATATTAAGAAATATGAGGCCAGGTGCGGTGGCTCATGCCTGTAATCCCAGCACTTTGGGAGACTGAGGTGTGTGGACTGCTCGAGGCCAGGAGTTCGAGACCAGCCTGGCTAACAAGGTGAAACCCCGTCTTTACTAAAAATACAAACATTAGCCGGGCATGGTGACACGTCTGTAATCCCAGCTACTTGGGAGGCTGGGGCATGAGAATCGCTTGAACCCAGGAGATGGAGGTTGCAGTGAGCTGAGATCACACCACTGCATTCCAGCCTGGGTGACACAGCGAGATTCCATCTCAAAAAATTAAAATTAAAAAAAAAAAAAAGATATACGAATACTTCTAATCTCATTCTATATGGGCCACTTAAACTTTTTTAATACTAAGGATTAAACCACCATGTGCCTGGGAGGATGGAAAACAGTGTGAATAAAGGTGAAAGCATCTGATCAAGAGCATTCCCAAGTCCCTCCACCTGCAAATCACACTCCCGAGATGCTGGTGACTAGAGTAACACGTAGCTGAACACAATGGTGGAGGGTGATGAGTGATGGGGCAGGTCCAGGTTTGGAGGAACCTGAGACTTCTACAACTTTTGGAATCTACTTACAGGAAAAGGAGAAAAAGTGACAAATACAAAAGTAGGTATAAATGTGAATACATACTTAGAATCTAGAAATAAATCATGATATATTTTTAGAGTCTCAGAGATTCAAGTACCTGTTTTGAGACATTTTTTGGCAATTTATCAGAAATGCCCCCTATGTATCCTGGCTTCCCCTCCCCACCTCTTAGTTCCCAGCCTCTCAACACAAAAAACCAAGTCCATAAGCTGCCCCAAGGCTCCAAATTCATTAGCTTCATAGTACATTCCCTTGAAAGCAAATAAGCAGAGTTTAGTAGGAAGAAAAAGGAAGAATTCAGGTCAGGAGCAGCGGCTCATGCCTGCAGTTCCAACCCTTAGGGAGGTCGAGGTGCGAGGATTGCTTGAGTTCAGCAGTATGAGACCAGCCTGGGCAACATAGCGAGACCCCATCTCTTAAAAAAAAAAAAAGAAAGAAAGAAAAAATTGGCCCGGTGTGATGGTGCATGCCTGTGGTATCAGCTACACAGCAGGCTGAGGTGAGAGGACTGCTTGAGCCCGGGAGGTCAAGGCTGCAGTGAGCTACGATTGTACCACAGCACTCCAGCCTCGGTGACAGAGTCAGACTCTGTAGTAGAATGAATGAATGAATGAATGAATGAGGGAAATATTCAGCCTTATTAACTTAAATATAATTTGCCTTATTCATGGTTGAAAAGGCCCAGCCAAGTGAAGGACTCTTCTACCCAGGACCGTGGGGAGTGATGCCCAACACATGTCATCTGTTTCCGTAGGACAAACACAAGCTCTGATCAAGTGCTGGGAGGCAGAGTGTCTGTATGGCCTGGTCCTTGTGCTCCCTGATGCAAAGTGAGCTTCCTCAGCCATGCTGCCTTCTCAAACAGGAGCATTCACCTGTCATGGGCCTGAGTCACCTGTCACATCCCTAAAACCACCACCTTCCTAGTCCTTCTCTACAACACCAAGAACTCACTTACTCACCAGATTGGTGAAATAGTAGCCATCCTCTCCAGTCATCAGTCGGCTTGGATTGCAGAAGCGCGTGATATACTGGATATTAGACTGAAGGCGTGGGGGGTTGCCCTTCAAAACGATGTAGATGAGGGTGGGGAGGAAGTCATCCGCTGACGCCGGCTCGTTCTTGGTGATCTTGATGGCATTGAAGATGTGCTTGCTGCACTTGGTGATGCAGGCCAACTTGTCTCGAGGCACACGCTTGGAATCCATTTCAATGATATCTACAAAGCAGAAAAGACAGTATTTCCCACGTAAAAAGAATCACAAAAAAGAAGCAATAGGAAAATCATGTTTCATCTCTAAAGTTATGAAGGAATCCTCACTAACCCCCTTTCCAGCAGTTAACTTAGTGTATACATGACTTACTAAATATGATCTCATACTCACAGAAAAAAGGAATCCCTACTAACCCCCTTTCCAGCAGTTAACTTAGTGTATACATGACTTACTAAATATGATCTCATACTCACAGAAAACAGAACCAAGAGCCAGGTACTGCACAGTGTGCTCCATAAGCACATTTCTCTATCCTCAGATTATGCAATGGATACTCTTATTAATGTTATCCATTTTAGGGATGAGGGGGCTGAGGTTCAGAGAGGTTAAACAGGATTTTCCCAAGATCGTACAGACAGGTAGGGAGCAGGGTGGGAATTTGAAACCATGTCTACCTGACTGTAAAGCCCACACTCCTTTTTTTTTTTTTTTTTTGAGACAGAGTTTCACTCTTTGTTGCCCAGGCTGGAGTGCAGTGGCATGATCTCTGCTCACTGCAACCTCTGCCTCCTGGGTACAAGCGATTCTCCCGCCTCAGCCTTTAAAGTAGCTGAGGACACAGATTTCACGCCATCACGCCCAGCTACTTTTTTGTATTTTTAGTAGAGACAGGGTTTTGCCATGTTTGCCAGGCTGGTCTCAACTCTTGACCTCAGGTGATCCGCCCACCTTGCCTCCCAGAGTGCTGGGATTACAGGTGTGAGCCACCGTGCCTGGCCAAGCCCACACTTCTAATCACAATGTAAGCTGCCTCTGAGCTCCATGGAGAAGGAAGAAGTTGTCTGATGAAGAGTCTTTTTACTGCTTCTGTGCCTCTGTTACATTTTAGAATGTTTTCGACAGTCCCAGTTTGCATACTGCTATTTAGAAATGTGGTTACTAAGCATGCTGTCTTTGTATTGATGAGAATACAAAATTAGCTGGGTGTGGTGGTGTGTGCCTATAGTCCCAACTACTCGAAAGGCTAAGGCAGAAAGATGGCTTGATCCCGAGAGGTTAAAGCTGCAGTGATCACACCACAGCCCTCCAGCCTGGGCAACAGAGCAAAATCCTGTTTTTCTTTTTTAAAAACAAACAGCTACTGGAATCCAACACACTTAGGTCTACAGTGACCAACTCTCCAACATGTGGATCTCCCTAGCCACAGAAATCACACATTCACACCTGCTGATTGGCAGAGGGGACTCACAAGGGAATACATTTAATCTCAAAATAACATTTACCTCTCCCAGGAAAAAAATTTCACTACCCACGACTACCACTAAGCCCAAGCAGGATCTCATGAACGCCCACTCTTTTCCAACAAGCCTGGGGGACAGCGAAGGGTGGTGAAATACACGCTGACAGCATTGCTGGAGAGGGAGCGTGCCTCTGGGGGTGCACATCTGCCGACAACTTGGAACATCATAAAAGACAAGGTAGCTTAATTTACACCAAATTCTGCCACTAGCAGGAATAAAAGTTTCAGACTCGGGCCAGGCAGTGGGGTATACCAAAGGATTCTTTCTGTTCTTAGATCATCCCTGAGGCTTCCCAGGCCCATCTGCTATGAAAGACAACGTGTAGGGGGGGCAGATGTGCTAGGTAGTGCACAGGCCTTATTTTAACTTACGAGTGCTTTTACTCCCTTACTTATGAGGCTACTGTGTGAATTACATAATTTTTGCTTATTTTATTGTTTGGTTTCCTTTAATCCTTTAATTCTGTGTTATAATTATTGTTATACTGATCTATTTATTTTTCTTTTTATATGGAACTTACTATACATAAGAATTGGGTAAGACTGGGTAAGATTTTTTAAAGCCATTTTTACCACCTACATCTATCTTTAGCTTTCTACCTTTTATTGATTTTTTTCTCTCTCTTTTAAAGTTTAAACCACTTTCTTGTTAATCTTTATTTATCAGTGTTCTTTCATCTGGCATCCTATTCATCTTTATTGTTGACATTTTGAAAGTTTTGTAAAGTGAATTATGTTTTATCTGGATGTGTGTGTGGCTGCGCATACATGAGGCAGGGCTGGGGTGGAAAAAGGAGAGAAAGGAAGGAAAAGGAGAATAAAGGAAGATAAACACCCCCAGGGACTTCTTCCACATGCTTCATCCTGCAGATACCCCTTCCTAGCATCCTCCAGCCTGAAGGAAGTCTTCGTGAACTCTTGGATTCCCATCCTGGTGTACATTCCACAATTTGCATTGTCAAAGCCTCAACTAGGAGATACGCGAGGAGAAAGCAACACCCAGGAAACTCACTGCTGTCTAATAGTTTCCCTCCCCAGCCTGCCTGCTATGATTTACTCTTCAGAACCCTGCATAATTGCTCTATGTCTTCTCCCAGGGCTCTGCCTTGTCATGAATAGGAAGCACAGGGCTGAGTGTGTGCTCCATCTCTGCCGGGTCCAGGGGTCCAGGCTTATCTTGAATAGAGTTGTGAAATCAAAGGCTATACCTCCAGGTCATGGTTTCTCTACATGGACACTCCTGACATTTGGGGCTGAATAATTCTTTGTTGTAGGGAACTATCTTGTGCATTGTAGAATGTTTAGTAGCATCCTTGGCCTCTACCCACTAGATGTTAGTAGTACTCTCACAGCTGGACATTTTAAAATGTCTCCAGGTCTGGCTCAGTGGCTCACACCTGTAATCCTAGTAAGCTAGGGGAGGTAAAGGTGGGAGGATCACTTGAGCTCCTAAGAGTTTGAGAACGGCCAAGGCAAACATGATGAAACTCTGTCCTCTTACAGAATGTGAACAAAAATTAGCTGGTATGGTGGCACGTGCCTGTGGTCCCAGCTATTCGGGAGGCTGAGGAGGAGGATTGCTTGAGCCAGGAGGTCAAGGTTGCAGTGAGCCACGATCGTGCCACTGCACTCCAGCCTGGGTGACACAGAGATCCTGTCTCAAAAATAAATAAATAAATAAATAAATAAATAAGTCTCCAGATGTCATCCAATGCTCTTGGGACCACTGGTGCCTGGCTAAGAAACCACTGCCCCCACAGCCACACAGAGCCATGCAGGCGAAGCCAAATGGGAAAGGGTGTCTATCAACAGATGAATGGATAAAGAAAATGTGGCGCGCACACACAGTGGAGTACTATTCAGCCACATCAAAGAATGGGATCCAGTCATTTGCAATAACATGGATGAAACTCTGGGAGGATATTATGAAGTGAAATAAGCCAGGCACAGAAAGACAACTATCGCATGTTCTACTCATTGGCGGAGCTAAAAACTGAAAACAATTGAAGGATGTTTTACCAGAAGGATGGTTACCAGAGGCTGAAGGTGAAAAGGGGCATGGGGGATAGTGGGGCATAGTGGCCAAGAGGTAACCAGATAACTATAGTGTTAGAAAGAATGAATAAGACCTAGTATTTGCTAGCACTACAAGGGAACTATAGTCAAAAGTAATTTAATTGTACCTTAAAAATTAATTAAGAGAATATAACTGGATTGTCTGTAACACAACAACTAAACGCTTCAGAGGATGGACCCCATTTCCCCTAAGGCAATTACCACTCATTACCTGCCTGGATCAAAATAGCTCATGGAACTCATAAATCTATACACCTATTATGTAATAAAAATTAAAAAATTAAACAAAACAGAGAGAAAAGGGAAACTTCCACCATCAGCCACAGGCCCTGGACACTCTCCTTGTCCTAAACTCTGGAGCTAAGAGGAGCTGATGATGGACTCTGTCCCCTTCCTGGGGTGACACACTCTTCCTTTCAGAAGTCCTGAAGAGTGTTTGACCTCAGGGCAGAGGCCTTGAAGATCCTCAAAATTTTATGCAGTTCTCTTCAACAGACCTCGCATTGTTACTTGTCAGCCCAGAACATGAGTCTCCTGCCCTAGAAGAATATGACCCACACTGTGTAACTTGATGGGCAGCCTCTCCTATTGAGTCCTACTATTCGGGAACACAGATACACTTCCCTGATCCTCAGGCCACCCACCTCTACTTTCACCTCAGCTGATGCCCCAGTGAACCATGCCCTACCTGGGAGAAGGAGGCCAGGAAGCCAGATCTCCCTGTTAGCAACAGGTCAGAATATTACGTTGGCTTGACAAAACTCTCATGGAACACTCTAAATATAAACCAGCTGATCTTGAACTTTCTAGTAAGAGTCAGAAAAAACACAAGTCCCAGGTCCGTATTCAGGCTTTTAGAAGGCTCTCCACCAACTTATGAGGTTCTGAGCAAACGGTGCAGGAGACAGAGTAGTCATGACCTGGTGCCATAGCCTAGCAGAAAAGCTTGCAAGAAAAAAACACAATAGTATTGACCTGGGCCACTTGGATTCTACCTCCAGAACTTGCACAGGAAATTACAGAAACCAGTAATTTACTTAATAACAGGAGTTGACATGTGAAGATACACAAAGAGAAGCAGAACCCGAGAAAGTGGAAGAATCACACCAGCAGAGAATGCCTGAGCAGACCTTCTGCCGTTGTAAAGGCAGTAAGATAGTCCTGAGAGACTTCGCCTCCTTTATAATCCTGATAATACCCTCAGCAAACCTCCATCTCTTCCTGTGGCTTGAGTGAGTTCTGCTCCTATAACAAAAGGAGTTTCACTCGATGGCCAGCCTCCAACACTACTAATCAACTGACCTAAGCCCCTTTCCAGTAGAATTTCATTAACAGTGTCTACATGAACAAGCCTTTCTAAGTCCTCTTTCTAATAAAGGAGACACTGGCCAAAGTTGAACATCCCTTCATTAAGACTTTTTTTTTTAATTGAAACGTTTGTGTTGTGTCTTGCTGGGTCATTCCATGAATGACAAACAACCTTATAAGAGGCTGGACTCGTCTAGAACGGCAGCGCCACATTCTCCAACCTGGGTAATTTCATTTATTTAACGATCAAACCAGAAAAATAACTCACAGCGCTTTCTTAATTAACAACCAGTCAGGAGAGGCATCATTTTAATATGTTCTCCAGCATGGGGATTACCTTGCCTTACCAGTTCCCTTCTTCTCTCCAAAATTATTTTGAATACATAAATGCAACTGAATCTTTAAGAAATTTGTAGGCCGGGCGCGGTGGCTCAAGCCTGTAATCCCAGCACTTTGGGAGGCCAAGACGGGCGGATCACGAGGTCAGGAGATCGACCATCCTGGCTAACACGGTGAAACCCCGTCTCTACTAAAAATACAAAAAACTAGCTGGGCGAGGTGGCAGGCGCCTGTAGTCCCAGCTACTCGGGAGGCTGAGGCAGGAGAATGGCGTGAACCCGGGAGGCGGAGCTTGCAGTGAGCCGAGATCGCGCCACTGCACGCCAGCCTGGGCGACAGCGCAAGACTCCGTCTTAAAACAAAAAAAAAAAAAAAAAAAAAAGAAATTTTTTTCATCATGGGAACAGTCAGCTGAATAAAAACTACATAAAAAAGAAGCACAAAAGAGAAAAAAATATTTATTCTGTATTTGACCTTAGTTGAGTTCAATGCCCAAGAAACGAGACCATAATCCCTGAAAATAAAGGGGGAAAAGAGTTAACCTGCTCTTCTGAATGCCATCAAATTCATAAAACTAACACCCCACAAATTACTTCTTTTACTACATTCCAATGTACCTTCGACAATCTGCATTTTACAAATGTATAGACTAATATTACAGCAACATGTTACTCTTATGTAGAAACATCGCAATAAAAGGCTCTTGGTTTCACTGACCTGTGATAGCCTTCACCACCATATCAGACACTTCTGGGATGTCTTCATTAACAGGGACACACAGCATCTGAGGCGTAACCCAGCGCAGGGCTCTAAAGAGAGAGAGACAGTAAACAAGGGCTCCAAGGATGAACCGTGGCCATTCGTCTTGTCACCTCCTGCTTAGGGGGAAAGCCTGAGGCATCATTGATCACTCAGACAATCCCAGGCCCACACACATCAACCCTCCAAGTACTAGGAGGTCAAATGACATGACAAAGCAGCTAGGATCCTAAAATGAGACTTCTACACTTATCACAAGAATGGAAGGCCATCTTGCTGACTGAAATGACATTACACAGTACTACCAACACTGAAATGCCTGTATTTGAAAGTCACCATTTGAACTGGCTGCTGCCTGTCCTCACTGTCTACAGCATTAATGTTCTTTTACACTCAGTCCTCAACCTTTTTTTTTTTTTTTTTTGAGATGGAGTAATCCTGTTGCCCAGGCTGGAGTCATCTGTCTCACTGCAGCCTCTGCATCCTGGGTTCGGGCATTTTCTAGTTTCAGCCTCCATGACACGGGACTACAGACGCCCACCACCATGCCCAGCTAATTTTTGTACTTTTACTAGAGATGGGGTTTCACCCTGTTGGCCAGGCTGGTCTCAAACTCCTGACCTCAGGTGACGGCCTGCCTTGGCCTCTCCAAAGTACCGGATTACAGGTGTGAGCCACTGCACCTGGCCTCAGCCTCAATTTCCTGAGGCACACTGGAGTTCATGGAGGCCACGGGCAGGATCACCAGCGCCTGAATCACTTCACTGTGTGTTTCCCTGGTCCCACCCTAACTGCACTCCAACTACCCTGCTGCGGGCCTCCCTCTGCTTGGTTACTGCTTCCATTCTGTATCTTGGTCCAGGGCCCCTCTGGTTACTTCTGGCTCCTGACCTTGTGCTCCGTATCTTCAACCTGCCCAGTATCAACTCCTCACTTCAGCTGTGAAACTCATCACAGATCTGGCAAGTACCAGCCCTCTGTCTGGAACCTGGGACTCCAAGGCCCCTCTTCCCTTAAAACACCTCATCAGCTCAGCCTTGGCCCTGTTCCCACACTTAGTGGTCTTTCCTCACTGTCCACCGCAACTGAGTGCAGAGTGCTGGGGCTTCGGCTCCCAGTGAGCCTGGAAGACTGGTGCTGTGGGCAATGTCATCAATCCAATGCTAGTGAAAGATGTGACTGGGGAATGGTGAAAAATGTGCACCCCTGGGAGGAATGAGGAAAGATGACATCCACTGACTTGTTATTTGAGAAGGAGTCTTGCTCTGTTGCCCAGGCTGGAGTGTGGTGACACGATCTCGGCTCACTGCAACCTCCGCCACCTGGATTCAAGTTATTCTCGTGCCTTAGCCTCCCAAGTAGCTGGGATCATAGGCCACGCCACCATGCCTGGCTAATTTTTGTATTTTTAGTAGAGACGGGGTTTTACCATGCTGCCCAGGCTGGTCTTGAACTCCTTGCCTCAAGTGAGCCACCCACCTCAGCCTCCCAAAGTGCTAGAACTACAGGTATGAGCCACTGGGCCCAGCCAACATCCCCTGCCTTGATACGGGATATTCACAGCTCCCTGCTTGAGGAAATGGTAATGGACCAAGAACACAGTCCCCCAATTCCTTGGCGATTTCAGGATTGAAAAAACAATCTCAAACGCCAAATACAACTCTTACCAAAAGCTGCTTTGACAGAGATGGATAGGTAAAGTCACATTCCTTGTCTTTCTGACACAACAGAGCAGCTTCCACTCTAAGGGAAGCAGGAACGGAACTGTTGCTTTCCCTTAAGGTTTGGAAAGGCAGGTGCCTTATTTCTCAGTGTGTTCTTCCATTAGTAAGTAGTAAGTATAAAGCAAAACAAAATAAGCAACTACCTGATCCTCTTTTGAATGGCAAGATCTTTCTTCTCATCATCAGTAGTTTCTGGACAGAACACGTGTTTATAGAGACGAGTCATGATGTACTTTTCAATCTGATCCATTATTCCTCTCGACTTTTCTGGAGGCACTGAAATAACCAGACAGAGAAAAGATCAAGATATATATATATGTGTGTGTGTGTGTGTGTATACACATATGTGTGTGTGTGAATACATATGTGTGTGTGTGTATATATGTGTGCATATATATGTGTGTGTATACATGTGTGTGTGTGTGTGTATATATATATATATATTTTTTTGGAAACAGAGTCTGGCTCTGTCACCCAGGTTGGAGTGCAGCGGCATGAACTTGGCTCACTGCAACCTCCACCTCCTGGGCTCGAGCCATTCTCCTACCTCAGACTCCCAAGTAGCTAGGACCACGGGCACACACCACCATGCCTGAATAATTTTTGTAGGTTTTTTTCTTTTTGTAGAGATGGGTTTTACCATGTTGCCCAGGCTGGTCTCAAAATCCTGGGCTCAAGCAATCTACCTGCCTCAGCCGCCCAAAGTACTAGGTTTATAGGCATGAGACAGCATGCCTGGCCAAGAGTATATTTTCATAGTACATCTTGGCCACAGCAAAAACTAATTTTACTAGAAATACATTAAATACACTCAGAACAAAAGTATAAGAATGTTATATTTAAAAATATGCTTACAGGCCAGGCGCGGTGGCTCACGCCTATAATCCCAGCACTTTGAGAGGCCGAGGCGGGCGACCACGAGGTCAGGAGATCGAGACCATCCTGGCTAACACAGTGAAACCCCATCTCTACTAAAAATACAAAAAAATTAGCTAGGCGTGGTGGCGGGCACCTGTAGTCCCAGCTACTCAGGAGGCTGAGGCAGAGAATCGCGCATGACCCAGGAGGCGGAGCTTGCAGTGAGCTGAGATCGCGCCATTGCACTCCAGCCTGGGCTAATAGAGTGAGACTCCACCTCAAAATAAATAAATAAATAAATAAATAAATAAATAAATAAATAAATAAAAATATGCTTACAAAAGAACTTCTACTGGCCGGTGCGGTGGCTCACTCCTGTAATCCCAGCACTTTGGGAGGCTGAGGCAAGTGGATCACCTGAGGTTAGGAGTTCAAGACCAGCCTGGCCAACATGGTGATATCTCCTCTCTACTAAAAATACAAAAATTAGCTGGGTGTGGTGGCACGCACCTGTAGTCCCAGCCACTCGGGGCTGGAGACAGAGAATCACTTGAACCTGGGAGGCAGAGTTGCAGTGAGCCGAGGTCACACCACTATACTCCAGCTTGGGCGACAGAGTGATATTCTGTCTTGACAAAAACAAACAAACAAAAAAACTTCTTTCAAATGTTGGGCTGCCTTCCACAGCATCCCTGCTCTAACTGAAGTTGTTCAAGGTGACCTAACAGTGTACACCCTGCCAAATGGGGAGACCAGCAAGGTCACTCCTGTCCTACATTGAAAAAGGCATTTGCAACTCCCAAGACTGATGAATGCTGATGAAACTTATCCTTTCATTTTTCTGAGGTTTACCATAACACCTTAGAGCTCTTGGAGGTATACAAATGGAGCAGATTTCTCAGATACACACATGTCCTGAGTACATCCTAAAGTCTAACATCACTGGAGGTTGAATCCATAAAGAATCCCTAAAAACCTGAAGTGCCCCCCCCAACTTTTTTACTATTAATACAATGACTCACCAAAATGGTGATTCCAAAATGGAAATCTATTTAGCAAAGCCTTCCAAGAAGTTTTTTTCTTTCTCTCTCTCTTTCTGTTTTGGAGACAGAGTCTTGATTTGTCACCCAGGCTGGAGTGCAGTGGTGCAATCTCAGCTCACTGCAACCTCTCCATCTTCCAGGTTCAAACAGACTTGTTCTCGGTCTCCCAGGTAGCTGGGATTACAGACATGCACCACGACACCCGGCTACTTTTTGTATTTTTAATAGAGGCGGGGTTTCACCATGTTGGCCAGGCTGGTCTTGAACTCCTGGCCTAAAGTGATCCGCCCACTTTAGCCTCCCAAAGTGCTGGGATTACAGGCATGAGTCACTGCACCAGGCCCCAAGAGGTTTTCGCCTGCTCCACCCCTGCCCCTAATGGAGTTATTACATTACTCAATAAATTATCCAATTGCTCCTGGAAAGATGCACATGGCACAGTTAAAGGCACTGCTAAGTATAAGACCAGTTCCCAGAATGTCAGTGAGGTTACAGGATGAAGTCTACAAAACAGCCAGACCATCAGGGAAAGAAAGAAATTGCTAAGAGACTGAGCAGTCGTCCCTCTGCAATACCTGCAATCTCTCAATGGCTAACAGTGTTACCTTTCCCGCGAGTCTGCATCCTTTCGGCCACATTGTGGTAGAAATCCTGAGCACACTCTGACTGTTCTTCAATGTCAGATCCTGAACAGAGAGACAAAGAGTGCTGGCTTAGCTGGAACAAAGTGCAGAAGCACAGCTCTACATTCTAAGAACTTTCCTGCAAAGCCAATTTCAAAATGGTAGTAAGCCTAAAAGTACTCACAGGTTATATTAATCCTGCAGGAGAGTAAATCCTATCCATTAATATTATTTCCAATATCTACTGTTGCCAGACTTTTCCTTAGTTCAGCTAAGGTCCTTTGTCTGTCTCACGCCACAAAATTTAGGCTCACAGACAGTTTGAATGGTGAGTAAGACAGGGTTTTATTAGATGAAAAGGGGGAATCAGAGACTCTCACAAGGCCAGAATCCCTCCTAGAGTGCTTCCTGCCAGCAGCTAAAATCCCAGGCTCCACACAGAAAGAAGAGGCGCCAGGCTCCTCCCCGCTACAAATGGTGCAAACTTCCCAAAGCTCCACCCCGGTGGGCAGGCCGCTGAGTTTTTCCGGGACCCTTCCCACCTAGCAGTCTCACCATGACCATCTCATTCTTTTTCTATAATTCACAGTTCAAAGAGTTAATGCATGTCTTGATAATCTATATTTTATGGACATTTCTCTTAACCCACTGGAATCATTTTTGGTGGCTTTATAACATTCCATCATATTAACTGACTTATTTGACTTTCTCACCACTGTGCATTTGAGTTGCTTCCCTCTTTCACTGTTGTGCATCGTAGCTATAAAAATTTTGTAACGACTATCTTCTTTTGGGTCACTTCTCTGTGATACATTTCCAAAAGTGGCATTAACCACTTAATAAGAATAAATAACGTCATAGCTCTAAGCATCTATTGCTACTCACACTCCTCAGAAACTCAGTGCACACTGTCATTAACCACGCAGGCTGGGCTTATTTCCTATTGCCCTGACAACATTGGGTCTGATAATTCTCATTTGGTTTTACTGATTTTATAGGTGTAATATATGTATTTGTTTCTCACTTTCTACCAAAGAGAATTTAAAGTCTATTTAAAAGATATATGCAGTTCAGCACAAGAGAATTAGAAATAAAAAGAATAACAAAGTAATCCCAGTGCCTGGGAGGCTGAGGCTAGAGATCGATTGAGCCTACTTAGTTCGAGATCAGCCTGGGCAACATAGTGAGACCCCATCTCAGAAAAGAAAAGAAAAGTTAAAAAATTTCAACAACAACAAGTTTAAAAAGCAAATTAAACACAGAGAGAGACTGAAAGCAGACACAGATGACAAGACAGAAATGTTTTCCTGGAAGATGCTAAATTAGTCAAGAGTCAGCCCATACATCTGTTTCTTTAGCAAACTTTTTTAGCAGTCATCATTAAGATGAAAACAGTTACATAATTCAGGGTTCAAAAGACAGTACAAACCAATCCTTCAGATGAAATTCCCGACATCAAACTGCACTTCTCCTGCTGGTTCTCACAAGGATGTCACCGTAGAAGAGCATGAATAAGGCCGAGAACAAACCCTGACCATCGCTGTCACAGACCTTTATCTACATAGGCCATTGACATCACACGCTAAGGGCCGATACATCCTTGGTGCTTCGCAGCAGTCTGACGGTCTGGCTTAAGTCTAAAAGGATGGCAGGATTCTCAGGGTCGTGGGCAGTCACCTCGTTCCCTCAGTGAAAAAGGCCAAAAGCACTCACGGCACTTTGTGATCACCGTGACTGCAGCCCTCATTACTGTCGACTACTTACCCATATACATGCCATTTGGTGAATTAAAATTGATCCCTCATCTATAAAAGCCTAGGACTACCTTAGTAAAGTCTGATATTTACCACATTAAGCTCTTATTTATATTCATGACTTCCCACTGTTTTATTTTTTATTGCACAGATTTTTAAAAAAGTTAATACTATTAAGCCTTTTATCTGGTCATTAAAACAATTCTTTGGCCAGGCGCAGTGGCTCACGCCTGTAATCCCAGCACTTTGGGAGGCCGAGGCGGGTGGATCACCTGAGGTCAGGAGTTCGAGACCAGCCTGGCCAAAATGGCAAAACCCCGTCTCTACTAAAAACACAAAAATTAGCTGGACATGCTGGGGTACACACCTGTAATCCCAGCTACTCGGGAGGCTAAGGCAGGAGAATTGCTTGAACCCTGGAAGCGGAGGCTGCAATGAGCCGAGATCACACCATTGCACTCCAGCCTGGGTGACACAGTGAGATTCTGACTCAAGACAAACAAAGAAATTCTTTTTTTTTTTTTTTTAATGTTTTAAATTTTATTCCTCTTTTTACTTAATTTTTTAACACATATAGAGACAAGGTCTCACTGTGTTGCCCAGGCTGGTCTTAAACTCCTGGGTTCAAGTGATCCTCTGGCCTTGACCTCCCAAAGTGCTGGGATTACAGGTGTGAGCCACTGCGCCCGGGAAAACAATTTTTTTGATAGTTCAATTTAGCTCCTCTTGCTGAAATACATATCCTAATCTATTTTCTTTTTTTTTTTTTTTCCGAGATGGAGTCTTGCTCTCTTGCCCAGGCTGGAATGCAGTGGCGTGATCTCACTGCAACCTCTGTGTCCTGGGTTCAAGCGATTCTCCTGCCTCAGCCTCCCAAGTAGCTGGGATTACAGGCATGCACCGCCACACCCAGCTAATTTTTGTTGTTGTTTTTTTCTTTTTTTTTTTTTTTTTTTTGAGACAGTCTGCCTGTCACCCAGGCTGAGTGCAATGGTGGATCTCGGCTCACTGCAATCTCTGCCTCCCGGTTCAAGTGATTCTCCTGCCTCAGCCTCCCGAGTAGCTAGGATTACTGGCACTGGCCACCATGCCCAGCTAATTTTTGTATTTTTAGTAGAGACAGTGTTTCACCGTGTTGGCTAGGCTGGTCTTGAACTCCTGGTCTCAAGTGATCCAGCTGCCTCGGCCTCCCAAAGTGCTGGTATTATAGGCGTGAGCCACCATATCAAGCTCATATGCCAATTTACTTTCTTCTCAATACTTTCACGGTTAGCTCTTTGATTTGGCTGAAATGTAAGGTGCATGGTATGAAACACAGAACTAAAATAAACTTTATACAAGCCTATCTGTCATCAGCAGCAGTTAGTAAAGCATGACCTTATTCCCTCTTGTCCTCCCAGTTGTCATATAACTTGCTCCTGAGAAATGAAATCTATTTATGAAATCTCTGGTTTATTTCACTGTTCTATATTTTCATTTTTTACCCAAATCTCATCTAGGTGTGATGACTTTCATTTTAGAACATGTTCTTTAAAATCTGCTGGATTTAGAAGCCTCCTGCTTCACAAATTCCTACTTTTACCCCCTCACAAAAAAAAAAAAAAATCATATGGTATATGTGTTTTCCTGTTTTTCTAGAATAATGAAACATTGTAATTTAAATGATATTTTAAGTGTTTATACTGACCTGCAAAGTTTGTCCTTTTTTTTTTTTTTTTTTTGAGACGGAGTCCCGATCTGTCACCCAGGCTGGAGTGCAGTGGCGTGATCTTAACCTACTGGAAATCTCCACCTCCCAGGTTCAAGCAATTCTCCTGTCTCAGCCTCCTGAGTAGCTGGGACTACAGGTGTGCCACCACACCCGGCTAATTTTTTTATTTTTAGTAGACATGGGGTTTTGCAGTTGTTCAGGCTGGTCTTGAACTCCTGACCTCAAGTGATCCACCCACCTTGGCCTCCCAAAGCGCTGGGATCACAGGCGTAAGCCACCACACCCGGCCACCATCAAACTGTGTTTTAATTCTTTGAATGAACTTCTAAGTTGACACATTAAATTCTCAATATTTAACATTCTTTATTGCTGTTGTCTTTTAAAATTACTTTTTTTTTTTGAGATGGAGTCTCACTCTGTCACCCGGGCTGGAGTGCAGGGGCGCCATCTCGGCTCACTGCAACCTCCACCTCCCAGGTTCAAGCAATTCTCCCGCCTTAGCCTCCCGTGTGGCTGGGATTACAGTCGCCTGTCACTACGTCCAGCTAATTTTTTGTATTTTTCATAGTAGAGAAGGGGTTTCACCACGTTGGACAGGCCGGTCTCGAACTCCTGACCTCGTGATTCGCCTGCCCTGGCCTCCCAAAGTGCTGGGATTACTGGCGCAAGTCACAGGCACCCAGCCTAAATTACATTAAAAAAAAATGCTAGGCTGTTTTTTATCACTAGTATGTACATCATAAATTCTGTAGACTTATCTTGCCATGTTGCTGTATCTGTGCTTCTATTACTGTTCTGTTTTCCCTTGGATTTTCTTTTTTTTTTCTTTTCTTTTTTAAATCTTTTAACAAATGGTTTATTGATACTATGTTATAATGCATGACAAAATGACAAAATATTAGTATCTAATTTAGACTTATGGCCACCCCACAGATGACCTTTGGAACAGAAAAAAAAATAAAAGATTTTGTTTTCCCATAATCATAAAGTTATACTCAGTCCAGGCACAGCTAGTACAACATTCTGCTCAACCCCACAGGCTCTACTCCCTTTACCACCTATTTATAATATGTTTGGGTCACCTATAGGGAGTGAAACACTGTCAGCATCAATAGTTAGTAGCACTTTCAAAATACATTTTGTTGTACTGAATAGAAACCGTAACTATTCAATTAGTCTAGTAATTCCAAATGGTCTTATTACTTCTATACATAAGATATGATCTTACAACATTTATGTAGCTAAATACTTATACTTCCCATGCTTTTTGAGGATTCCCAAAAGACTTTAGGGGGTTCCCAAGACTTTAGGGTTTTTTTTCACAATAAAAGAAAGGAACAGTGTCAATCCATGAGAGTCAGACCAGCAATTTAATAAGATCCTCTTCATAGCTCAGTTCCCGGTGCATACAGAAATTCAATACAGCCTCATCACTCAGTTCTTAGAAGAATTTGAGGAAGGATAAGAGCAGTAACTATCAGTTTTGTTTAACAGCCTAAAAGTGAAAACAGATGTCAAAAACAAAAACAAAAACAAAAAACAAGTTTTCAAATTCCTTTCATCCCAGGATGTCTGAAAAGGAGAGACTCTATGGAGTGTGGATACAGAAAAGGAGTTATTCCCACCGGAAAAAAATGAACTGTGGACATGGGGTCACTCAAGACTAGAGAAACCACCACTGTGAGTAAGTAGGCTTCAATTTCACTGTTAATTAAGTACACACCAGAAAACCTGGGACAAAGCCTGGGCTACAGCCCTTAGGATTCATTCTCAGGCTTCCTGGTGCTGTGGTTCAACAGCCTTTGTGGGGATGGAGAGAACCAGATACTATCACCATCACGCAAAGAATACCACAGCAACAGCTGTCAAAAACCAGCTGAGCTGAAGTTACACACCATTTGAAATCCACACTGTACTTGCTTTCTTGTGAAGGGCTTGAGACATGTGCAGAGATACCTTAAACATGTGTAGGTGACCTTCCTTTGAAAGGCAGAGTGAGGGCCTCCTGTGAACTCTTTCTACTCATTTGTTTTCCGATCAGTTCACCATTTCAACTAGAAAAGATGCTGTAAGCTACCTCAGCTGGCTTCTAATTTGACACAGCACTACTACACACACAACTGAATGAATGACCACATCTTCCTGGTTCTTCCATTGGGCAGTGGGGCCAATATGCTTCTTTTGACTGAATAGGTGTGATCTTGTTCCCGAGAAAAGTGTGTAAATGTAGGGCCAGATTTTGTTTGTCTCCGCTCCGAAAATTGGTGGAGCACTCTCGGCTCTTGTATAATTCAATGACTGGCTTTGCCACATCTTTGTACTGTCCTAGCTTGGCAGCAACTGCTTCGGGTTTATCATCCTCCTGCTGGACTAATGGCTCACCAGTGACATCATCAATACCATGTACATGAGGTGGATTGAAGTCCAGGTTATATACCCTTCCGCTAGGAGGGTGAATTCAACGGCGGCTGAGATGATCTTTTAAGTGTTTCAAATGGAATGTTCAAACTGGATCACTAGATCCACTTCACAGATTTTGTCCAGGGCTTCGGCTTGTCCTAATGTCCTAGGAAAACCATCAAGGAGCCAGTGCTGGCCACGCCTTGGCCTCCAACTCAGACATCATTAGGCGTGTGATCACATGGTCTGGAACCAAAAGACTTCTCTCTATATACTGCTATGCTGTCTCACCAACTTCGGTGTTGGCCTTGATGTTCTCCCCCAAGAAGTGGTCAGCTGAGAGATGCTGGAGGCCAAAGTTCTGGCGATCCTCTCACACGGTGCTCCTTGCCCGAGCCGGGTGGCCCGAGGATGACCGCGCGCAGGAGTTTAGAAGCCACTGTCTTCATGGTGAGGGGCGCCAAATGCGCAGCCCCTACCACGGCCCTGGAGGGAGCCCCGAACTTTGTTTCTGCCCCTACCTCTGGCACCTCCACTCGCACTGGGACTCGCCGGCTCCCTTGATATTCTTAAAGAGCAACAAATTATACTTCTTGTCACTTTCAGCCCTAAAAGCACTCATTACTCATTACACGATGAGTAGAACTCAAGTCACTGTACCAATTCTATAAAAAAGTCAAGAAAATGCCTGTGATGGCTTTCAATTTACATGGGAAGACTGAATGCAATCATTATAATATTCTATAATTACAAACAAGAAGGACAAACTACCGTGGGGCACACCGTAAGTCTCACTTTTTCTTACTGGAGCTGTCTCCTTCTCTAGATCGGTAGTAGCAGCAGTAAGTGTGCTTATTTTATACTAACGCCTGTGCTGAGACGATGGTGACTAGATCTTTCTAGCGATGCTCGCGAGAAAAGTTGTTACCTTCCTGCTCTGAGGTGTGAACCCAAGTAGATCCAGAACTACTCTATGAGAAAAGTCCTGATGCTACCCACCCTACCCCAGAGTTGACTGAAAGCAGGATGGGCCTCGATCTGAGCATGCTCCGTGGCTCAAATGCGTGGGTTTTCATTACCACCACCCCACACCTCTATTTCCAGTTCTCCAAGGAGACTTCCATCTAGCCCTCACCTATGAATTGATGAAATATATTTACATGATACATTCTCTAAGTTTCATTTCTGTACTAAACTAGATCACCAGACAAATATATCCATGGACTATACTTTAGGTTTGCTGGAGATATTCTTTCAGAGAACTAGTTTTAGTTTTCAGCCTGGACTTTGTTTTTTTTTAATCTTTTTAGACAAAAGTCTTGCTGTGTTGCCCAAGCTGGAGTGCAGAGGTGCCATCTCGGCTCACTGCAACCTCTGCTTCCCAGGTTCAAGTGCTTCAGCCTCCCTTGTAGCTGGGATTAAAAGCAAGTGCCATCACACCGGATAATTTTTGTATTTTTAGTAGAGACAGGGTTTTGCCATGTTGAACAGGCTGGTCTCAAACTCCTGGCCTCAAGTGACCTGCCTGCCTTAGCCTCCCAAAGTGCTGGGATTATAGGCATAAGCCACCGCACCCAGCCTATGCCTGGACTTCTATGTAGGTAATCACAGTAGTAGCTACGTGAAGAATATGCCCATAAGAACATGTTTTTAAACTCCAAGTACCATTAAATTATGACCCTATTATCTCACTGTTATTTTAAATTAATTTTGTAAACCTCAAATCCTTTCAATAAGCAGAACGGGTCTATATAACAAAACGACTACCATTATGGAATGTACGATTTTTTTTTTCTTGAGATGGAGTTTCACTCTTGTCACCCAGGTGAGATCACCCATCTTGTCACCACCCATCACGCAATGGCGCGATCTTGGCTCACTGCAATCTCTACCTCCTGGGTTCAAGCAATTCTCCTGTCTTGGCCTCCCAAGTAGCTGGGATTACGCCCAGCTTGTTTTTGTATTTTTGGTAGAGACAGGGTTTCATCATATTGGCCAGGCTGGTCTCGAACTCCTGACCTCAGGTGATCCGCCCGCCTCGGCCTCCCAAAGTGCTGAGATTATAAATGTGAGACACCGCGACCAGCCAAGATGAGTTTTTTTTTTTTTTTTTTAAACTATTAAACCCTCAAGTCTAACTTTGTTATGGGGGACAACATTTTAACTGATATTTGAATTTTCCTTTATGGCGCTATAATTTAACTTGTTATTGTTTTATTATTTTTTCAGAAATTGCATTTGACTACATTGCCTAGGATGGAGTGTAGTAGCTATTCACAGATGTAATTGTAGCTCACTGCAGCCTCACATTCCTAGGCTCAAGCAATCCTCCTGTCTCCCTCCTGAGTAGGGGGGACAGCAGGTACACACTGCGGTGCCCAAATCTATCCTTCTAGTTCATGTATTTTCTGCAAAAGCATATCCATTCATTTAATCTTCTTAGGTAGTTTACACATGGTTTTACACCTTTCATTTGCACCAAATTTTAGCACTTAAAACAAACCATATTCATTCTTGTGATTATTATTACAGGTCTGAGCATTCCTAACCCAAAAATAAAAAATCTGAAATGCTCAAAAATCCCAAATTTTTCAGTGGCGACATGACACCACAAGTGGGAAATTCCTCATCTGGCCTCATGTGACGGGCCGCAGTCAAAAAGCAGCCAAAACTGTTTAATGCACAAAACTGCTTAAAATGTGGTATAATATTACCTTCAGGCTACGTATGTAAGATATATATACAACAAATGAATTCTGTGTTTGGACTTGGGTCCCTGTCCCAAGTTATCTTATATATGTGTAAATATTCCAAAATCTGGGAAAACCCCAAATCTGAAACACTTCTGGTCCCAAGGCTTTCGGATAAGGGATGCTCAGCCTGTAGTGCTCACTTCCAACTAGAAACTCTCTGAGTTCCTTTTAGAGACCCGAGCGGCCTGTCTTACTGGTGTATCATGTTCTCCTCAGCTCCATACAACCCCTACAATTTTACAGTACAATGCAGAAAACTCCCTTTCTATTTCCACCGCAGTTTATGCTCCAGTAGAGTATTTACTTCATAATGTAAAAGAACTCCCCTGCCACTCTGTCTCTCGTCCCGCTTTCCATTCTTGTAGGACTTACACTATGTTACAGATCTGCTTATTGTCCATTTCCCCCACTAAACTGTTAGCTCCACGAGGGCACCGTTCACCACCATATCCTCACGCCTAGAACAGGGCCAGGCACATGGTTAGTGTTCAGTATGGGTTGACTGAATGAATGTGGCCATTTATTACCATTCCTCCCTTTATAAGATGCTGAAGACAATTCTCCATAGATCTCTTTCTACCCATCTGTGAGCAAAGACAATGACTGCCTTTGTTTTGCAACATCTTTTCAAGGATTTCTGTATAGCAAACAGCTTTAGGAGACAGAGATAGTACCTCCTTCAAGAGAAAAGGCTAGACTGCTTACTGTGTAATAAGGATCCCTAAGTCCAAGGTTCCTCTCCTCTAATACAACTCACTGCATGCACAGGCTTTCCCTGGTCTTCTCTGCATGATCCCATAGGAACAGATACTCAGGGGATAAGCACAAATGCAAATGGTCTGGCTACTGCTGCTGCTGTAAGGAACTGGCGTTGTCTCTGACCCAGGAGACTCGTGTCTTTGGCCAGTATCTGTGAAACCATGGCAGGTTAATTTGTTAGCCTGCAAATAAGGTAACTCTCAGGCCCCTCACAGTGTTTGCCAAAGGGGCAAAGTGAGAGCAGGTTTGTGCTGGTAAGTTCTTTTAAGCTCTACAAAACTCCAAAAGGTTTGTCATAGTCTTCCAAGAAAAAAAGATAGTAGAGCAGTGAGCAAATCCTTTTCCTCAAGTACTCTCTAATCATTGTATGGGATCATCTTTTCTAAAACAGCTTTTTTTTTTTTTTGAGATGGAGTCTCACTCTGTCGCCAGGCTGCAGTGCGGTGGCGCGATCTCAACTCACTGCAACCTATACTCCCAGGTTCAAGCAATTCTCCTGCCTCAGCCTCCCGAGTAGCTGGGACTACAAGCATGTGCCACCACGCCAAGTTTTGTATTTCTAGTAGAGATGGGGTTTCACCATCTTGGCCAGGTTGGTCTTGAACTCCTGACCTCGTGATCCATCCGCCTCGGCCTCCTAAAAGTGCTGGGATTACAGGCGTGAGCCACCGCACCTGGCATCTTTTCTACAACATCTGAGTAAAGTTGTCATTTTATTTTATTTTTCTAAAATAGTT